AGGACACTGAAAGATTAACTCCCCAGGTCGGTAGGTTCCCAATATGCTACTAGAGATCAGTGGAGAAATAACTCCAAAAAGAATGAAGAGATGGAGCCAAAGCAACAACAATACCCAGTTGTGGGTGTGACTGGTGATGGAAGCAAGGTCTGATATAAAGAACAATATTGCATAGGAACCTGGAATGTTAGGTCCATGAATCAAGGCAAATTGGAAGTGGTCAAACAGGAGATGGCAAGAGTGAATGTCCACATTTTAGGAATCAGCGAAATAAAATGTACTGGAATGGGTAAACTGAACTCAGATGACCATTATATCTACTACTGTGGGCAAGAATCCCTTAGAAGAAATGGAATAGCCACCACAGTCAACAGGAGTCTGAAATGTAGTATTTGGATGCAATCTCAAAAAATGACAGAATGATCTCTGTTCATTTCCAAGGCAAACCATTCAATATCACAGTGATCCAAATCTATGCCCCGACCAGTAAGGCTGAAGAAGCTGAAGCTGAACAGTTCTATGGTTCTATGAAGACCTACAAGACCTTCTAGAACTAACACCCAAAAAAGATATCCTTTTCATTATAGGGGACTGGAATGCAAAAGTAGGAAGTTCAAGAGATACTCAGAATAACAGACAAGTTTGGCCTTGGAAGACAGAATGAAGCAGGGCAAAGGCTATAGAGTTTTGTCAACTGAACGCACTGGTCATAGCAAACACCCTCTTCCAACAACACAAGAGAAGACTCTACACATGGACATCACCAGATGGTCAACACCGAAATAGACTGATTATATTCTTTGCAGCCAAAGATGGAGAAGCTCTAGAGTCAGCAAAAACAAGACTGGGAGCTGACTGTGGCTCAGATCATGAACTCCTTATTGCCAAATTCAGACTTAAATTGAAGAAAGTAGGGAAAACCACTAGACCATTCAAGTATGACTTAAATCAAATTCCTTACGATTATACAGTGGAAGTAACAAATAGATTCAAGGGATTAGATCTGATAGACAGAGTGCCTGAAGAACTATGGAGGTTTGGGACATCATACAGGAGTAAGGGATCAAGACCATCCCCAAGAAAAATAAATGCAAAAAAGAAAAATGGCTGTCTGATGAGGCCTTACAAACAGCTATGAAAAGAAGCGAAAGGCAAAGGAGAAAAGGCGAGATACACCCATTTGAATGCAGTTTCAAAGAACAGCAAGGAGAGATAAAAAAGCCTTTCTCAGTGATCAGTGTCGGAAAAGGCAATGGCACCCCACTCCAGTACTCTTGCCTGGAAAACCCCATGGACGGAGGAGCCTGGTAGGCTGCAGTCCATGGGGTCGNGTCCCATCACTTCATGGCAAATAGATGGGGAAACAATGGAAACAGTGACAGACTTTATTTTGGGGGGCTCCAAAATCACTGCAGATGGTGACTGCAGCCATGAAATTAAAAGACGCTTGCTCCTTGGAAGAAAAGTTATGACAAACTAGCCAGCATATTAAAAAGCAGAGACATTACTTTGCTGACAAAGGTCCATCTAGTCAAAGCTATGGTTTTTCCAGTAGTCAGGTATGGATGTGAGAGTTGGACTATAAATAAAGCTGAGCGCCAAAGAACTGATGCTTTTTAACTGTGGTGTCGGAGACGATTCTTGAGTCCTTGGACTGCAAGGAGATACGACCAGTCCATCCTAAAGGAAATCAGTCCTGAATATTCATTGTAAGGACTGATGCTGAAGCTGAAACTCCAATACTTTGCCCACCTGATGCAAACAAGTGACTCTTTGACAAGACCCTGATGGTTAGAAAGATTGAGGGCAGGAGAAGGGAACGACAGAGGATGAGATGGTTGGATGGCATCGTGGACTCAATGGACGTGAGTTTGAGTAAACTCTGGGAGCTGGTGATGGACAGGGAGGCCTGGCGTGCTGCAGTCCATGTGGTCGCAGAGTTGGACACAACTGAGCGACTGAACTGAAAACTGAGACATGACCACCCGACCATGAGACCCCTCCGAATACATGATCACAGGACCCCAGCTGTGAGCTGAACTAAGGACCCCATCCTTCAAGGCACAATTTCCCACCGACAGGGTATGAAGGCTGGGCTGTAAAGGGAGAGCATGGGTATCTAAGGTCACCCTCTCTCTTCCCAGAATGTATTTTTCTCTGCCTGATGCCACTGTCACCTTACACACATAGAATAGAGTACTATCTAGCAACAAAGAGGAATGAACTAGTGATACATACTACAATATAAAGTTTGAAAACAAGAGAAGTGTGAAATATTTCCTGCCAAATCAGTGGGCAAGAATATCACCGCCATCAGTGATTTCAGGCCTCTAAACGTGAATGAGCTCCCAAAAGGGAAAATAATGCCTGTGACCCACTAGATGCTGCTGCCCCGGCCCCCACAGTGATTGCTAAGGAGCTTGGAGGTGGGGGGCGGGGGTGCTGGATATGAGCAAAAGCAGCAGTCTTCTGCCACCCCTTTCGATGAAAGAGGAATTAAAGATGTGAACACTCAAAAACCAAGATTGTGGGATTTGGTCCCAGATAGCAGAAGTACATATGAAAGGAAAGAGTTCAGTGAGCCCAGAAATTTGCATCTTCCTATATACAGAAGAGCAATAAGTTCCTTGAGATATCTGGTTTTCCTTAATTAACAATAATCTTTGATGTTTGGACTGTCTGCCCTCTTTGTTGCAAACTTCTATATACAGCCTGCCTCCCTCTCCAGCCTCTTCAGAGCAGCTCCTCAGGGCTGGCTAAGATGCTGTTTCCCAGGCTTGAAGTCCTAAACATTCCCACCAAATAAAATAACTTTTTACTCTCAGGTTCTGACTATTCTTTAGTGGATAGAAGCCAGTCACAAAGCACTACAAACCATACAATTCCATCCCGTCACTGAGTGTAGCTCATACATACTAAGCTTGCTGCACAACAGGCGGGCTCGAGATAAGTCACTGAGACAAGGAACAGAGACTTCATTCAGAAAGCCAGCAAACCAAGATAATGGGCTTCAATCATCTTGCCTGAGTCTCAACTCAGGCTCCTTTATACCAAAAGGGGACGGAGAAAAGTCAAACACTTCCTGGTTCCCTTTCGCCTCCAGAGGGGATGTGTTAATTTCCTCCTTCCTGCAGTCATTAACAGCTGGGCCTGGTCAGGATGTTTCCTGGAGCTAAACAAAGGTATTTTAGCCTAACACTCATTACCTGGAAGCAAGGTTCCCAAAGACTGGCCGTTATGTATAATTTAAGTTTGGAGGCAACATCCCTTTAGTTAATAACTTGTAATGGAATACAAGATTCTTCTCTATCACAGTTCTTATGGAACGTCCAGAGTAGGCAAATAAATCTATAGAGACCAAAAGTAGATTAGTGGTTACAAGGTGCTGAGAGTTGGGAGAAGATTGGACAGGAATGAGAGGTGACAGCTAAAGGGTATGGAGTTTCTTTCAGAAGGGACAAAAATGGCCTAAAATTAGATTGTGGTGATGACTGTACAACCCTGTGAATATAATAAAAAAAAATTTAACTGTATACTTTAAACAAATGAATGGTGTTGACGTGCATTATTATCTCAATAAAGCTGTTTTAAAAAGGACAAGAGAATTGTCAACCATTTGCAATGAAATGCACCTAAGTTGCATCCTGGTTCAAATGAACATACCATATCAGGGAAAACTGAACATTAACTGGATATGTAGAGTAGAATCTGGAATAACTATTGATTTTTTTAAGTGTGACAGTGCTATATTATTTTTGTTGAGTCTTATTTTTTAGAGCTGTATGGAAATACTTTTGGATGAAATGATATGGTATCTGGGGTTTGCCTCAAAATAAACAGGTGGAGCAGATATAGGGAGAGAGTACAGCCACAAAGTGGGTTGTTGTTTAGTTGCTAAATCTTTCGCAACCACATGGACTGTAGCCGGCCAGGCTCCTCTGTCCAAGACATTTCCCAGGCAGGAATTTCCCAGGCAGGAATATTAGAGTGGGTTGCCATTTTCTTCTGTAAGGGATGTTCCTGGCTCAGGGATCAAACCCATGGCTCCTGTGTCTCCCCATCTCCTGCACTGGCAGGTGGATTCTTTACTGCTGAGCCACCAGGATACTGGTCAATGAGATGGGCTTCGGGGACTCACTGTACAGTCCTCTCTGCTCTTATTTTGGAATTCTCCACAATTAAAAGACTTAAAACAATCTATCAACATAGAGGTAAACAACTTTCTATAAAGAGCTAACAGGTCACAGAGAACACACATATAGTTAATGAATATTTGAAGATGTATGACATCTGTTACAAGCTTCCCTGGTGGATTAGATGGTAAAGAATCTGCCTGCAATGCAGCACACCCAGGTTCAATTCCTTGGCTCAGAAGATCCCCTGAAGGAGGGCATGATTATCCTCTCCAGTATTCTTGCCTAGAGAATCCCATGGACAGAGGAGCCAGGTGGGGTACGGTCCATGGGGTTGCAGAGTCGGACACAACTGAGCAACTAACACTAACATCTGTTATAATTTTAAAAACAAATTCAATTAAGGAACAATTTTGTGCCTAGAGCTTGGCCAAGTCTGACATTCCCCAGTGCTCACAAGGACACAGGAAACACTCAGATCTACTGACAGTGGCTGGAAGAGACAGCCTCTTGGAGGACAATTCAGCAGCATCTATAATCATTTTCAAGACAATTCCACTTGCAGCAGTTTACTCATCAGATATACTTACATAAATATGCACAGACATTATGTTCAGTGTTCCTGAAGCAATGTCTGTGATTATAAAAATAGGAAACAAGTTGAGTCTGTGCCCATCAAAAACTGGTGAATTCCCATACCAGACATCCTGGACAACTTAAGAGATATCCTCAGTAATCTAGGGAGATCCTAAAGAGATCCTTAAAGGGAAAGATGGCCATATGCTTCCCACTGCTGGTGAACCCAAGTGCACTGGGTTCTCTAAGGAACTTGAATTATACTCAAAGGAGACCACAATGAAATGAATAAATGGTTTGCATCTTGTTTATTTTCTGCCTGCCCTGGCTGAAAGTTGGTCCCCAGGGCCAATCTCCACTGTGAAATTTTGCACTCACATTTTTATTCCCATTCCCAAATGAAGAATGTACAGGGTCACTAACAGCAGCACCAGATCTCCCAGGGTAGCACCTAACCCTCCCAACAGCCCAGGAGCTTGTCACCTCATCAGGTCTGCCTTGTCCTACACACGTCACTACCGGGCCTGAGGACGTCCCGGAGCTGTGAGGTCCGCACCTGAGGAGACCCCACACCTTTCACACTCAACAGACAGACCTGCCCTGACCACTTAGGAGGTAAACAGCGTGCTGTGGCAATCAGATTTCATCTGACCTCTCCCCACCTCCCGGGTCCAGGGCCACATCCTGACTGGTGAGTGGGCTCACGCAGCACTCAGGAAGACTCTCTTGTGTGCGGTGTTGGTGTAGGGGTGCCAGCGCCACTCTACATCTGCAGTGGCCTCCTGTTCCAGCGTGCCCAGTCGGATCATGTACACTGGGGGAAGGGGATGAGATATGGTCACCTACATATCCAGCACTGCCCACCACCAGGTGTAGGAGAAAGCCCCAAACTCACACTTCAGCTCAAAGCGTGGCCCAACCTCAGTCAGCTCCACATTGCGGTGGTTGGTCTTCTTGTATACGTGGTGCCTGGGGCAGAGGGGACAGGGCAGGGTTGAGGGGAAGCAGGGAGCAGCTGCAGGATGATCAGTTAACAGTACAGCGACATAAAGCTCAGGACATCACTTGAGCCGGGTCAACAGACCCACCGGAAGGAGATGTAGTCGTCCTGGTTGGCGAAGGTGATGACCCGGTGGCTGTCATCTTTGGGCACAGGGAACAGGTAGCGGAGTATGTCAGAGACCTAGGGCAGCAGGAAGAAAAGCCTCAAATGCCTGGCCTGGAACCCTCGAGCCCCCAGCCCCCAGCCCATGGCCTCATACTCACCCGCTTACCCAGGCGGGAGGAGAATCCATGCATGATGAGATGAGGCTTGGCCTCTGATGCAGTGCCCAGGTCAGGGATGTCATGCCTCATGACTACGTTGCACAGTGTGAAGTACGCAGTTGGGCCAAAGGGCAGGTGGCTGACAATGAGCCCCACTGGCAGGGCCATGCAAGCAGTCAGAGACCCTCTGCTCCGAGCCAGCTACCCTCGCAGCACCGAGCTCCCTCCCACCAGCCTTACCGGGTGTGCCTCGATGCTCATGGACAACCAGCAGGTCAGTGACCCCATTGGCTTTGCAGGCTCGCACCAGAGCTCCTACCTCATGCCGGCCACGGTTCATGCGCTGGGCACCAGGGAACACCAACTTCAGCTCCTGCATGTGAACTCCCTCTGGTTAGGACTGGGACTCCGAGTGTCTGAACACCTTCCCACTCACGCCTGTCGTCATACCTTTGCAAACATCTTAAGGCGGGAACTGGGATCTCGGGAGGTTGTAATCATGATCTTGGGATCCTCAACCCCTGCCCATCGATACTCATCATCTACGTGGCTGGTCACACCTGTTAGAAGCATGAGGCACAAGAACACAATATTGCCGAGGAAAATGAAATGCTAACTTGCGGAGATCAAATCCACCTAGAACAACACTGTCTGACAATACCTTCAAGGATGGAAAGGCTCTGTACCTGCTCTGGGCAGCAGGGTGGCCCCTGGCCAAACTGGCTACAAGCACACGTGTGATCGAGGAATTGAATCTATTTAATTTTAGTTCATTTAACCTCTGGTAATCACATGGAACAAGCAGCTACCATGTTAGCACAAGTCCAGACTCTGTTAAGGCCAAGAGTAACAGACTCCTTTACCTCACAGCAAAAATGTATGCTGTGATTCCTTTCATATTTGTTGAATGATGCAATGAATCACACATCTGGATACCAATGAAGTCCTGGTAGCTGAGGACACAGGAATGGACAAAATCGACACTGTTCTGCCCCAGCAGAGCCTACATTCCTAGTGAGAGGGCCAATTAACAGACAAAGTACAAAGTGGGGTAGTACTGTGTCATGTGAACACAACTGGGAGCACTCAGTGAGAGGGCCCCTGAGGCGTCATCTGTGCACAGCCACGAGCGTGCCTGGAGGACAGTCTCAGGATCAGGAGCTTCACAGCCTTTCTTCAAGGTGTCTCAGGAATGACATGGAAGTTAGTGGGCTCAAGTGCAGCAAGAGAAGCTGGCCCATAGAGTCAGGAAGGTTACCTTCACCGCCGGCATCGTCAAATTCCAGGGCCCCCTGTAAGGCCAGAGCTTCCTTGCGTAACTCGGTGGGAATCAGGCGGTTCTCTGCAGAGGGAAGACAGAGAGGTTGAGAGAGACATGCACAGAACCTTCAGTTTTTACAACACTGTACAAACTTGATGGAAAAACACCCCTTTATTCTGTTCTGAGCAGAGAGCTGATATGTAATCAGAGACGGAGGTGGAAATGAAACGATTTATTTTTGGCTATATGCCACCTTGTTAAGAGTGTTTATAGGTGATTTCATTTACTATGGGTCCTGAGTGTCAAGACTTAAGCGCTTTCTAAAATATCTAACCGCAAGTAAGCATTCCCTATGTAGTCAGAAAAAAATTAACAATGTTAAAAGAAATAAATGTAAACTACTCATTCTATACGAAGGTGGATCAGAAACCCTCAAACCCTCTGACATTAAAATCATTAATCGTGATGCTCTGTCAGAGGTTCCCTCTGCGAACTAAAGCTAGATTTGACAGAAGAGCTGGGCTGTGTGGCCATGCCCACTTTGGAGCATGTCCTTGAACCCAGCCCTTCTCTCTAACATACCCTGGGCAAACTCTTGCACACTGGAGACAGTGTTCACAGCAGCAGGGCTGACCCAAACTAAAAATGAGCTGTCCACTCCCCACAGTGAACTGGATGAAGACGCTGTGGAACATGCACCTGCAGGAGCCCCACCTACACTCAATGGATCTTAGAAACGATGCCAAACAAAAACATAAGGTGGCAAAAGAATATACAAAACCTAATACTACCTAAAATCAACCAATATGATTTTATATTACAAACAAGCATGATACAGGCAAAAAAGAAGAGGAAGGAAATGGCTTATTTTTAATCAATATTCAACACTGTGGTTCTCTAAGTTGGGGGAAATATTTCTGAACTTCAATATATTTATCATTGTTCACTTCTTAAGGTGAGAAGACAGGTCATTACATCAGGAGCTCAGTTGCAATGGACTCTCTATGGGCTCCATGGGCTGTAGTCCGCCAGGTTCCTCTATCCCTGGAATTTTCCAGGCAAGGATACTGGAGTGGGCTGCCATTTCCTACTCTGGGTTCAAACCCACACCTCTTGCATCAGCACGGTAGATTCTTTCACCACTAGCGCTGAGAAGCTCTGTTTTACATTATGCTTGACATAAACATACATACACATACTACAATACCTTACATGCCTAAACTCTAAGACGATCAAAGTGAATTTAAAACGCAAGTATTGAGTTGATGTACTATCAGGAAATAGAGCTCCACCAACACAGGAACCAACAAGATACATACAAATAAAGCATTTCCAATCAGGTATGTGTGACAGACTCTCTTAACAGTAGGGCAAATGGAAAATGGGCAAAATATTGCAAAGTTAAATTCCTAATTTACAACGCAAATAAAATTAAGTTCTACACAAAGTAACAGTTTCCAAATACAAGGGACTTGTAACAGCAGTAAAAGACAATCAGATATTACCTTGTAGTGAAAATAGGGAGCAAGAACAGAAACGACGCAGAGAAAATATGTATAGGACCACGTGAAATGTTTAAATCTGGAAAGGCCTAGACACTGCGATTTAGCGACTAAACAACAACAAAGACATTGTAAATAAAATAAGCAAGCTGTAAACTCTGGATACTGTAACATAAATGACAAGCAATTCATATCATCTTGAAGGGAACATTTGCAAACCATGAGGAAGATCAAACAGTTAAGGGAAATGACCAGTAAATACGTGAAAAGCTACTCACCACACTAACATAAGTAAATGCTAATTAAACGCGTTTTACAGCATTGGGGCCTGTTTCCCGTTGGGTTTTAAAACTAAGGTCTCTAGAAAAGATCGGAGAGCGGGGGACACACGTACCCTCAAGCGCGCGCCGAACCTTGTCCTTCCTCTCCTGGGCCGTTCGCTCAGCCTCCTCTCGCGCCTTGCGGTACAGGTACTCGCGGCGAAGGCGGGCCTCGCGGCGCAGCTGGGAAACAGCGGGCCCATTCAGACACCGGTTTTCGCCAAGCAAAGCAGGCTCCAGAAACATACGCCCAGACCCCACCGGCCACAGCCCCAGCCTCCACCAGCCCCCAACCTCCAAAACAGGAGTTTAAAACATCCCTCCTACCATCCTGAGCGCAACTTCCACGTGGGTCCAGGAGAATTTTTGGATACCGCTTGCGCAACGCAGTCCTCGCTTCCGCCGTCCTCGCTTCCGCCCTTAACCAAAAGTCCGTACAGACCTCACCGGATTCCACTGATTCCGACAATGCCCGAAGTTAAAATGGCGAACAGAGTGGGAGTCGCAAAGCGATTGGCCAGACTGAAGCGCGTGCTCACTGAAGCAACCAATAGGCAGGATAGGGTGGCAAGGTGCTGTCACGTGGCTTAGAACGGCAGTTAATAAAGGCGACAGCCCGCGGCTTCACTACCTAACGCAAGGAGACGAATGTTCGATTTGAAGGTGAGGAGCCCCTAAAATAACCATAACTGTAGGCTCCAGCAGCTGTAAAAGCTGTACAGCGATTGACCAGATGATCGCCTACCCGCCCATTCTGAAATTAAAGCCGCCCCTCCTTCAAAATTGACGCCTCGTTTCATCACCACTCCGACAACCCTGCATTTAAATCGCGGCCGCTTCCAGAAGTGAATCGGAGATACCACAGCTCTTGCCGACTGTCCGGGTGGCTGGTCCCCTTCGGATGCTTGCCTGCCGAAGGTTATCACTTCCAGGGTCGCAGCTCTGAGGGCGCTGACTGAACAGCGCAAAGCAGGCAGCCACAATCCACCCACGACTAGGAACGCCCCCGAGAGGGCGGGCCTCTCACGCCTGTTGGCTGTCCTGCTAGGACGGCGGACACTCACTGGGCGACCTGTCAGGAGCCGGCTCTCGACTCAGCCTAGCAGATGGCTTCTCGGGATCTGCGGGCCGAGCTGGACTTCCTTCTCCTGCAGCTCCTCGGAGACCTGGAGCAACTGGAAGCGAAGCGGCAGGCGCTAAACGCCCGGGTGGAGGAGGTGGGAGCTTAGGGCGGGAGGGCGGTCTGGCACCCGCACGGAAGTTACTTCGTTTCACCTCTGTCTTCTCTCTTCCCAGGGCTGGCTCTCGCTTTCCAAAGCGCGCTATGCCATGGGTGCCAAGTCAGTAGGGCCCCTGCAGTATGCCTCCCACATGGAGCCCCAGGTCCGCGTCTCCACCAGGTGAGGAGCCTTGCATGCTGCAGCTGGTGGGCGGGTAGAGGCCGGGCCAGGGCCGCCAAAGGTCCAATCTCTCTTCTCGTTCTGTAGCGAGGGTCAGGACGGACTCCAGAAGTTCTGGATGGTGAGAGCCGGCACCCAGACTCCAGAGGAGGTGGGGTCCCGCGAGGCAGGTGAGCTCCCCCTCTTCTTCCCGTAGAATCCCTTCCCATATAAAAGACAAAATGCATGGGACATCTGAGGAGATGATTTTATTTCGGCTGTTGCGATAGAGCGCGCCCCAATTCTGAAGATCAGAATATCTCGGCAGAGCAGTTTTGTGGGTTTTTTTTTTTTTAATATTGCTTCCGCTTTATATTTTGATTTTTCGGCTGCAAGGCATGTGGGATCTTGGCTCCCTAACCAGGGATTGAACCTGCACCCCCTGCATTGGAAGGCAAAGTCTTAACTACTGGATCGCCAGGGAAGTCCCCATGCAGAGCGGTTTTTTTTGCCTTAGTTTTATAGGGGGAATAGAAAGTTATGGGTGAGGTCCTTTACCGTTAGAATTGTTTTGCAGTCAGAGGAAGTCTCAGCTGAATAGAAGATGTTTATTTCTGTGTCTAGCTAGTTTCAGGGGGACAAATTTCTAATCCCAGTTAATCATTCATGAGACAATGGGGAATTGAAGGGTGTGTCTGGCCTTTCAGCAGGTTCAGGCAAAATGGCAAAAGTCTGTGTACCTTTTTCACAGGTAAACAAGGGGGGTCATTTGCTGGTTTTATGGCAGTCAGTAAAAAAGAGTGGACAGACACAAGGGGGAGGGTGGTTCTTTGTAATAAGGTATTTTACGAAACATAAAACAGATTTTCCAACAGTTGGTATTTTCTGGGATCTTGAGCTTAGACCGAGTTTAACATTGTCGCCAAGAAGACGGCCAGGTATTAATAACGAGACCCCCAGCCTTTCTTTCTTCAGCTCTGCGCAGGCGCAAGGGTCTCCCAAGGACCCCAGAGCCAGACTCCTCCCCAGCCCCCCAGAACCCTTTGAAATGGTTTGGAATCCTGGTTCCTCACAGTCTGCGACAAGCTCAAGCCAGCTTCCGGGAGGGTGAGTGACCCTGAAAGGGACCTTCTATTAACCCGGAGTGCTAATGCCAGGCTTGGGATTAGTCTGCAAAAGGCTTTGCAGGTTTTCTCCATTTCAGACTTGTTGCACACCTACAGTTTTTTAAAAAAGCATTTATTGGCTGTTGGCAGAGTTCAGGTTCATAGGAGGTGCTGGGGATACATCAGGAAACAAAAGGTATAACACCCTCATGGGATCTTTATTGAGTGCAGAAACATGCATGCAAACAAATAAGTAGGCCCTAAATAAAATACCAGGCAATGAAAGTTGCTATGAAAAAATAAGGTAGAGAGAGTGCAATGGATGGCATAGCCTAGGGGAGCTGTTGTATATTTGGTAGCCTGGAAAGGCCTCTTGAAGAGATGGAGGAAAGACCTTTGTTGGTGATCTGGGGGAACAGTGTTCTAGGTGCCAGGGACCAGCCAGGGCAGATCTCTGAGGTGATGTTGCATCTGGTATGGCAGAGAGGAGGCCAGTGGGCAAGAGTGGAGGTGGTGTGGACAGTGGCAGATAGGATAAGTGGGGGGAAACTGCATGTTTTTTCCAGTAGAAAACCACAGGATTTGCTGATCAATTCAGGAGTAAGGGAGGGAGAGCAGTGAAGGATGCGCCCAGTCTGTGGTCAGAATGCCTGAAAAGGGGAGGTGGGAGGGCCACAGAGCAGCAGCTGAGGTAAAGTCAGAAGTGGTGTTGGGGTATGTTCCTGGTGTGGTAGAGATTTTGAGTGGATGGTTGGGTACATGGATCTGGAGTTTGGAAGAGGCCTGGACTGGAGAGAAAGATTTGAGAGCTCACTGCATAACACTGGTTTTAAATTCCCAAGTTGCTGACACAGCCACAGCATTAAAGTTGAAATGGGATGAGGTCAGCAGAGGTCCCAGGAATGTGAACAGGAAGTAAGGGGAAAAAGAAGGGAAGAGGCCAGTCAAGAAGACTAAGGAGTGGGGCAGAAGCAACATCAGGAGGGTAAAGTGTGATCTGGAGGGAGTGATCACTGTGACCAGGCAGTATGGCAGAAAACAGGACTGGCCAGTGGACTGGGTGGTGTGGAGGGCCCAGAGGACTTCACAGCAGCTATCCAGGAGAGGTATCAAGTGGAAGCAACATAGGTGTGGCTCCAGACTGCGGGCCACTCTTGGGGGCAGAGAAGACAAGTAGAAGGAGAGAAGGCAAGAGTAGTGAGGGCCTGTGATAATGGAGAAAAGAAGGAATGATATAAGGACACGAGACTGAATTTTTAGTTCCTGGTGGGTGCTATAAGAGGGTCAAGGAAATCTGAGGAGGAGGTGACATTTTAGCAATGACCTGAAGCACTTGAGAGTATGAGTCCAGTGAGGTTCTCAAGGAGTCAATGCTAGCTGTACCTGGAATGTTTTAGGAGTAGTTTGAAGGCCAGAGGCTGTCCAGAGCCCCTTGAGTCATGTGGCACCATAGATACCATAGTGACAATCTCTTCTCCTCCTCTAGGTCTGCAGCTGGCTGCAGACATGGCCAGTCTTCAGAGCCGCATCAACTGGGGTCGAAGCCAGCTCAAAGAACTCCAGGAGAAACTCAAGCAGCTAGAACCCAGGGCTCCCTGACCTGTCCCCACAGAAGCAAAGCAGTGGGAACAGCTGTTCTTCGATGTGGCTCCCTTATCAGGCCTTCCTCCTTCACAGATTGCCCGCTGCCCCAACTAACTCCTGCTCCTTAATACTCCTCTGGTCTGCATGTTTCCAACTTTGTTAGGTGGGGAAGTCTGAAGAGGCAAACTGCATAATGTTCAGAGTTACTACTGTGAAACCACTTGTAAACTTACATTGTTCTAGGACACATCCATGTGGAGCAGTCACAAAGTTGTTAGGTTAGTTCATATCATTGAACCATAACAACCTCATGCATCAATTAGCTGTGGTTTTTCATTACTGGATGAAATACTACACAGCAAGTGGCAGGAAAGGACAAGAAGTAGGTGCTTCAGTTTCTCTAGATCCTTAAAACTGACTTTAATGGAGGGGGAAAAAACATACATAGCTACACAGATCAGGACAGAATGATTCTGCATTGATAGAAAAACACATACCTGAGTAGATGCAGAATGCTTAGTAGGTTTTAAGCCAGAAAGTAAAAAAGGATCTGACCTAGATTTTCAAAGGAACTCTTTCAAGAGACCATTCAGGTTTTTAAAAAACTGTTTTTGCCTTTCAAGTGTGAATCTTTTAATTTGTTGAGGGGCCAGAAACTGTGTCCGGGCTTCATTTTTCTATGGGATTGTTGATATTTTTAGGAGTTTCTAGGAGCTTATGGGGGATGTTAGTTTTTTGTTCATAATATGAGGTGTATTTTTCCCAGTTTTTGTGTTTTAGCTTTACTTACTGTGGTGTTTTTTAAAGCTTTTTATTGTAAAACACGTTAAACTGCACAGAACAGTTGAATAGCTTAATGAGTAAAGTGAAACCTCTCTCAGCTCTGTGTGTTTAAATCAAGTTTCTTAGAACAGTTGAAATTATCAGGTAGCTATTTTATGATTTCTGGCTTTGAGATTGCAGTTGATGGGATAATAAGGGAATTCTCCAGTGTTTTCCTCAAGAACTTTTGTATTAAAGTGAAGTACGGGGTAAGGCCTGCACTCAGCTTCCTCTTTTCTACCATAGTTCACATACAGTGGACCATCCTTAGCGCTGATTTGAAATGCCACTCTTTTCTTTCAATTAATCCCAATGTTGTATACCCCTACCATATTTTGGCATTTCCATTTTTTTCATTGATCTTAATGTAAGTTAAGACACAAGTACCACAGTGTTTTAATTCTTAAGCCTTTAATAAATATATACTTTAATCGCAGTAGGGCAAATTTTCTGGTTGGATTGGGGGAATTTTGGAGAGGGGGCACCCTACGTTTGTGAAAAGCTTAATTGAAGCACTCAAAGA